CATTCCATTTTTCCGTGTGATTTCTTTGCCGTGTTCCAAACGTCTCCTGGAAAACCGCATGCTGCGTCCTCCTCTTGTGTGTGTGTTTTTTCCTGCTTCTCTCCCCACTAGTCCCTGTTTTCTCAGAGTACGTTTTTTCACTTCCCTCGATCGATCCCTTTTCCTCTTCTCTCCCTTCGCGCTACCCAGCCCCACACTGTCAGTCTTTCTTTTTGTGGAAGGCGGGAGAAATGGGAAAAGGAGTTCAACTTGAGAGAGAACAACTTCTTACATCTTAGTTTGGGGGAAGGTGAATTAGCACCAGGGGCTCTACTTTTATCTGTGGAGAGGTTTTGGACCAACTAGAGCCTACTTGAAGGCTCTAAACAACAAGAACAACAGGTGCCCTGGGCACCTCCCCTTAGTGGTTATTCTGCCCAGTGCCAGAGGCTACCCTAACAAAACGGACTCTCAGAACCTCAGAGGTTCTGAGATGAGTCTTCTGTACAGTGTGTGGAATGGGTGAAAGTTGTATTGGTTTCTGCTTGTACCTTGGGCCAGACCTCTTATCCAGGGCTGGACTGGGAAGGGATCGCAGGGGGCTAAAGGTGAAAGCGTTGAGGCACAGAAGTGGGAAGAGGGATCCTGGGCATCGACTTCACAGACACAAGTGATTTGAATTCTGGGTGAAGTCCTGAGAAGCAGGAGGGGATAGAGGGCTGCAGTGGCACAGGAAGGAAGAAATGAAATGCTTGAGCAACAAGGAAGAGGACACAGAAGCCCTACCTCCCCCAAGTGAAGGTTATGGGGTTCAGATAAAGAGGAAACTAGAATCCAAAGGGCAGGGATGCTGTGGGTGCTGTGACGCCCTGTTAACCGCCCTGACACCTCCCTTTCTCTCCTCTTAGAGGCCAAGTTGCAGAAGTTTGACCTGTTCCCCAAGACACTACTGCAGACAGGCCGCCCAGGCAGCCCTCAGCCGTCGCTGGGGAAGCCACTGTCCCCAGACGGCGCGGACTCCGGTCCTGGGACCTCATCCCCGGAGGTTCGGCCCGGTTCGGGTTCGGAGAACGGCGACGGCGAGTCATTTTCAGGGTCGCCCCTGGCCCGGGCCTCTAAGGAGGCAGGTGGCAGCTGCCCGGGCAGCGCTGGCCCCAGCGGCGGCGGCGAGGAAGACAGCCCCGGTTCTGCCAGCCCTCTAGGCTCCGAATCCGGTTCAGAGGCCGACAAGGAGGAGGCGGAGGCCGGGCCGGCACCGGGGCTGGGCGTAGGCCCGGGTCCACGGCAGCGGACGCCGCTGGACATCTTGACTCGCGTTTTCCCGGGTCACCGGCGCGGCGTCCTGGAGCTGGTGTTGCAGGGCTGTGGCGGCGACGTGGTCCAGGCCATAGAGCAGGTGCTGAACCATCACCGTGGGGGACTCGCGGCCGGCTTGGGCCCCGCCGCGCCCCCCGATAAGGCCACCGTGGGTGCAGCAGTGGCCACTGACGACGCGTGGCCGGGTCGCGTCGACGCAGCTGCCGCCGGGGGCTCGGGGCTGTCGGCACCTTTGCAGGCCGGCCCCGCCGCGCCCCCGCACCACAGACCCTTGCTAGCCGGCGCCATGGCCCCCGGGGCGCTGGGCTCTCTGAGCAGTCGTTCGGCCTTCTCTCCGCTGCAACCCAACGCCAGTCACTTCGGCGCCGACGCGGGCGCCTACCCGCTGGGCGCGCCCCTAGGCCTCAGCCCGCTGCGCCTGGCTTATTCGGCAGCGGCTGCGCACAGCCGCGGCCTGGCCTTCATGGCGCCCTATTCTACCGCGGGCCTGGTACCCACGCTCGGCTTCCGCCCGCCGATGGACTACGCCTTCAGCGATCTCATGCGTGACCGCTCGGCCGCCGCCGCCGCCGCTGTGCACAAGGAGCCAACCTACGGCGGCGGCCTATACGGGCCAATGGTCAACGGAGCCCCGGAGAAGCAGTAGGACCAGGGGCCTGGCAGCCGGGCAGCCCCCAAACAGGGACTTCAGCCTTGCCCCTCTTGGCCGGTCGGGTGCGCGCTCTGCACTGTGACTGGGGTCAAGGTGGTTTTTGGTTTTGGTTGGAGCGTGGGTGGAGAGAACTGGGAAGGGGAGCATTCCAGGTGCACGAGTTCTCAGAGAGACTGTGCGGCCCGGATCCTCACCCCACCCCCCAGCCCCGCGACTCCAAGCGCTGTGAGGAGCCCCCTTTTTCAGGCTCCCCAGTTTCTCAAAAGGCGGGAGGATTCTCGGGAATTTCAAAGCCGCGCCCTTGTCTCCCTTAGCTGTGCGCAGCCCGCCTGCCTGCGCTCTCAGTTAGATGCCAGGGTAGTCCAAGAATCTGTCTTCTGTGTCTCCCTCTCGCTTTTTTTTTCTTTTAATATTTGCTCTAACCAATATACATTTAGGATGTATAAAAATCTTGGCACTGAGTCGAGTCTTGGGGACATATATATCGATATCAATTGTAAAAAAAAAAAAAAAAGGAAACACGTCCTAAGGTGCACTTTCCTCGTTGCGGTAATTGTCGCTCTCTTTGTTGCTTATGCCGATAAGCATGGGTTTCCTTGGTGCAGTGTGAGTTTTTATATATGTATAAATCTATATATAATCTATACATATATATATACAAGCCAGTGTATAATGTTATAAAATGGAATTCTAAGTTATTAATTGTAATCTGTAGGTGACCTCGGTATTAACGTGAAAAAAAAAAGTTAAAAAAAGTCAAAGAAAAAAGACAAAATGGAAAAAAAAATTAGACTATGCGCGCATTGTACTTATCAGGTTTTATAGATTAAATAACTTGTAAACATGGGCCTAATCCTGCCCGCCCCACTCTTGCCTGCGGCCGATCTCGCCCTAAGGAGCCATCGAGGTGCGCGCGCGGAAGCAGGGACAGAGCGACGTGACTGAACCAGAGTCGCCCTCGCGCGGGCCCGTCCCTGCCTCCTGGGACTCGCCAAACTCCCCATTCCTCAGCTGAGGGGTCGGCCGCGGGAGACGCTGTGCGGAGAACGGCTCACTTTGTGCTTTCCTTTGCATAGACATGAACTAGAAATAAATGTTATTTTCTAAGAAAACAACGCCGACGCTTAGAGCGGATGACAAAGTCTTGATTTCCCGGTCGGAACGCCAATGAGAGAAACGCGACAAAAATTTGGGCCCTGGGAGGAAGGGGGGCGTGGGTCGAGAAAGTTCTACAGCTCCGGGGAAGACTCCGAACTCTGAAGGTCCGGGGTCTGGGCTCCGGCGCGCCGGCTGCGGCGCGGTTAGCGCTCTTGACCCCCAGTCCGCGGTCTCTCCCGGGGTTCTCATTCTCCCAGGCGCAGGTTTGCGCGCAGCACGGCTCGCACACTGTGGCGGCTCCATTCTGCGAGGAGAGTAGGCCTGGGGGTTACGTGTTTTGTGGGGTGGTGTTGATCGTAGAGCTTCTGTCTTCACCCGAGGCCATGTAAACCGAGAATGACCGTGAGGACGCGCCTTCGGGCTGAGTTTCCTTAGACTTCCCTCCTTTCCCTGCCCTCCTCCGGCGGAGATGAGCAACTTTTCGGCTCCCGGGCCGTGCCGACCCCCTCCTCCAACCTCTCGTCCCTCTCCAGGAAATAGGGTGCCCCCTCCCCTAGTCTGGGCCCGGCGACATCCCAAGGTAAACTTCTGGGGCCGGCTCGAGTTCCGCCAGGCGGTGAAACTTAATAGCAGGACAAGAAAACGGTTTAATAAAGAAGGGCTTTAATAGGGAACTAATTTGATTGAGTTGCCTAATTCCACTTTAATTGGAAAGGGGGTTTGGCTGTTTGGTTATAAAGTGCGAGGGTGACGATGAAGTGGAAGAAGTGGGGGGAGAAGGAGCCAGAGAAGAAAGCTGGGGGCCAGAGAGAGAGAGAGATGGGGCGAGAGAAAGGGAATGAGATAGAAAGAAAAATGTGTGAGAGGAGAAAGAAAAGTTAGAAAAAATAAGAGAGGGCAGAAAAGGCGCTTGGGAGCTTCTAGAAGCGAGAATTTTCTCGCCCTGGTCGCTGTGCCTATTCAAGTTTCCAGGTTTCAGAGGCCTCCAGGGTCACCTCTCAGCCAAGTGGTTCTAGCCGCCCCCTCCCCACCCTTTGTTCCCACTCTCACCCAAGGCGGTGATAGCGTCGGTCTGAGCAGGAGTCACACTAGGTGCCAGATGATCAGCCCTGTGGACCCCGAATCACCTACTCTCAAGCACATCTGGAGCTTCGTAGATGTCAAGATTCTCATTCTAGTTCATCTCACAGCAAACCTGGGAGAATGTAATGACATGTTTACTACCGGCCCCATTTTACAGAGGAAGAAACGAAGGTCCAGGGACTTGTCACACCGTTGGAAGACCCAATCTCATCCCATCTTCACTGCTCCAGTGAGTCTTCTCCTCCTGCTCCTCTTATGAAGAAATCTCCACTGGCGGATAATGGGAACGCTGAGAAACCCCCTTACGTGTGCAGATACTGTTCAGAAGAGGAATCCTGGTATGCGCACCTGCGCAATCAGGAAGACTATAGTGCCGTAAATGGAGTCCATATCGACTCAGATCGACTTTACCCGAGACGAGACTTCAAATCTCTTGCGGGAGCAGAGAACCTCAGCTTTCTCCCGTGGAGCGGCTGGCGGGCTTGAACCGCCGACCTTGTGGTTCGCAATCTATTGCTTATCTATGGAGACACCGCGCTCCCTGTCGGCAAGACTAGGGGCGGATTATCCAATAAGCAAGGTAAGCACAGGCTTACTTGTGCTTACTTAATAATCTCTTAAGAACAGCTTCACATGTTTAACTTCTGTGGCTAAAAATAGAAAAGGTGAAACTGTTCACTAAATATTAGTAATTAAGCCCAAATCAGCCCGAGTTTAGCTAGTTCATTAGGTAATCCGACACTGGGAAAGAATGCGGTTCAGAGACTATCAGTGAGGGGCTCAGGGTCGCACTTCCAGGTTCTGAGGGATCTGAATCAGAATCCAATTTACTCAAGCCTGGTTTCGGGGCGGCTAGGAGGGTAGTATATAGGAGCCTTGGGTTCCGGTTCGTGGAACTGGAATCCGCTGGGATCCGCACTGGAACTGAGCGTGGGGTTTCTTGGAGACATCGGGCACCCATCCTTGACTAAGAGGGCGGCCTTCTGGAGCGCTAACTTTCCCAAGACGGAAGTAAGTTTTCCTTCCTCACCTAGGCTGCCCAGGTGTATTACCAAACTCTCCCGAAGCCTGCTGGAGTCTAACTTGGACTGGCACCGAGAAGACATGGACCGGAGTCGCCAAGGGAGGGCTGTGACTGTTAAGGAGACAGACTCCTGGGAGTAGGTGTCTTTTAAAGATAATTCTTCTAGCTCTAATTCTTGTCTTCTTTGTTACCTCTTTCTCAGCCATAGTAACAGCAGCAGCTACTCATTTCTGAGTGCCTACTGTGTGCCAGGCCCTATCCTAAAGCAGGCGTCCCTCAGCATCCCTACCAGTGCATGAGATCTGGGCGGAGAGGATAGAAAAAGATGAGAGCTGGGGTCCAGGCTCTATCACTGGCTTGGTTTCTTCATTTATGGATTATTTCAACCAGCAAACATTTACCAAGTACGTAATGTATGTCAGACCCAGTTCTAGGACCTTGGGATTCACAGATATGCACACTAGGTGGGCATAACAGTGCCCTCTAAAAACTCCAAGTGTGTTATGGGGAAGGAGCAACTAAACAGGCAGGAAAGGTGCAGGGAGCCTGGGGTCAGGGACTTCTGCCTCAAAAAGCACTTTAGGCCAGGTACTTAACCTCAGTTTCCTTCTCAATCAATCAAATAAACAAAAAGAAACTCAATCCTGACTCATAGCAACCCTACACTGGGTTTCTTTCTGAGACTGTAAATTTTTACAGGAGCAGACAACAGGGATCACCAGTGGTTTAGAACCACTGACCTTGTGGTTAGCAGCCCAATGCTTACCCAACATCACTACCATGGCTCCTTTTCCTCAATCAAGTGGGGGCTACTAATTGAGTCACCAAGAGTCAGAATGAACTCCACTGGCAGCTGGTTAAATAGCAATACCGTCTTCTCTGCTGTGAGGAGTAAATGGGATAATGTATAAAAATCTTAGTTCACTTGTTAAGTGCTGATGGGCTGGTTCTGCCCCATAGTAACCATGTATAGGGTTTCAAGGAGCAGCTGGTGATCTTGAACCATTGATCTTGTGGTTCAAACCGACTTTGCAGTCCAGTGCATTAACCCACAGCACCACACCAGGACTGGCTGGAGCAAATTTCGCTTATAAATCCTTTCAGTGTCACAGGTTATGGGAGAGATCCTATGCAGAACAGTTAGCCACAGAAAGAGGCCATCAGTTGGGAGAAGGAGGGTTTGGGAATACTTGGGAGAGAAAATGAGACTGTGACTGAGTCCTAAAGAGTATGGTTGGGACAGCATTGAGATCTATGAGAGAATCAGGGTTCCCTCTGGAGGAACAGGTGGACAGAGGTCAGAGGTCAGCTTATAGAGAACCTTGAACACCAGTGTAAGGGGCCTGGGTGTCCAAATGCCCTTGGAGCCCTGACAGTAGTGCCTGGTTAGATTTGTATTTGTATTTAAGAGATTGTTGGAATAAAGTAGACTCTCTGAGGAGGAGCCATAAAGATGGTAGCCAGAAATGATCAGTGAAGTCAGGGATAGGGAGAGAAAAGGTGAATTTCAGGAATTGCTAGAGGCCAGACTCTTTACTGTTGATCTAGTATAGGGCACAAGCAGAGAGGTGGGCTCACAGCTAATTCCCAGGGGTCTGAGTCGGGTGACACAGATATGGACCACTGGAGCAGGGACATGTTTGGGAGTTAGAAAAAAGTTGTTTCTAAAAACACACAGTTTGAAGGGCCTATGGAGCCTTGGAAACTCTGTGGGTCAATTCTATTCTGTCCTGTAGGGTTGATATGAGTCTAATAGATTCAACTGTAATGGGTTTGGATTTAGATAGAGCCTCTAAAGGAGCCATGGTGGCTCAGTGGTTAAACGCTTT